GCGCCCATGAAACAACAAACACGATTACAACTGATATCATTAAAACAGTGACCTTTCGTGCTGTACGAATAGCAAGCGCTTGCTGATTGTTAGAAACTTCGCCAGGAATGTTTCTTCTCCAAAGACGATAACAAATGATAGAATAAAGCACAATTAGAACGATAAACGAGACAACTAAACAACTCAACGACGAGTACACTTCTTGAGCGCTCCTCTCAGATCCACATTTAGGCCTTTTTTCGTCCCCATCGTATGCCGCTTTAAAAGACAACAAAGCTGAAATAAGCCACATAGCTGGAATTCCTACTTTTACCACCCATTTTGATGACAATTTATACTTTAATGGTCGAGCGACGGCAAGATATCGATCAAGAGCAATAACTACCAAGTTAAAAATAGAGCAGAAAAGCAAGAGAGAACCTACAAAAGATAATATTTTACAAGTGACGTTTCCCAGGGTGCCTCCAAACCACGTGTATCCGATGTACAGCTGCGTAATAAATAAAGGGGCCAGGAGCACAGTGATCAAAAGATCGCAAATTGCTAAGTTCATGATGAGACAATTCGTTGATGTTCTCATGGAACGATGTTTGGTTATGACGTAGATGACAAGAGAGTTGCCAATCACAGACACCAGGAATGTGAACAGCATGGCGCTGGTGAAAATCACTTTTGTTGGGTAGGTGTGGTTGAGGTCAGCAGTGTACTTTGAATCTGTCGCGGAGGGATAGTTAATGTTAGATTATTTTGTGCAAACCAGAAGTACATCAACTACTTCTAATCGTTTAATAAACATTAGAGATACAAGGTTGAAATAGGGTCAAGCGAAATAACCATGTGACCTACTTGGAACTTGTCTCCATTTAATTTTACGGATCAAAGGGTCTTGATGATAGCAGCAAGTCAAAAATTTAAAGAAAACGACGCAACTTTTAAGTTTCAAAGACATGTTTCGACAAAAACTACTGTCATCTTCTATCCTTATAATTCTCTGGCACACTTTCACGCTTTGCTTTATTTTGTTGTCACAATTAGCATTTTGCTACTTATTATAAATTCGACTTCCGACGCTTTGTACATCAATCAACTGAAGATGACAGTACGTAGGTTCTATCGAAGCATGTCTTTCAAACTTTTAAGTTTCGTCGTTTTCTTTAAAATTTAGATCAGTAATTTTTCACTGCATGTACATGTTGAGGAGTAATTTGTGTTTTGGCTAGAGTCCTGACTGATACGCGGACCTGAATGTTAAATTGATAAAGTGCTTATAATCCCTCTCATTATGGCGGGTTAATATAACATGCGAAAACGTTTGTTTCTATTAACTGCGAATTTTCCATGAGCATCAGCATGTTATTTTCCTTTAAAAATGTTAAAAGAAGGAGAAAGACTGAAAAATTAAATTCATTATTTTGCTGTGGCTGAACTATCCAAATCAGATGAAAGTAAATAAAAGCTCCAATGATTTATGTCTTTCGGCTGCAGCAATTTTTTTATTTTGTTTGTTTTCACGAGGCTGTTGATTGACTGATATGTAAATTTTCAAGTACTGGAGGAACAATCTATTGCTGATAGCTTGCGCCTTGTGAATTTTAAGACATCCTTAATTAAGTTTGCTTTAAACAAAGATTTTAATTTTAAGTTATGCGATCATGATAATCGTTTTTCAGGGAGTTCAGTTTCCCGGTTTGTTCGAGTGACTTTAGCGTAAATATCGAAAACTAATCGAGAAAATTAATGAAGGGCAACAATTATTTATTACGGACATTATATCTTTCAACCATTTTTACAAGGGTGGAGCATGGCGTAGAATTTAATAGTGTAAAACTGCCGGGCTGAAAAACCACGCCTCTGGTGTATTATGCCGCTTACCTTTCTCGTCTGTTTCATTGTAGTTTGAAGTAATTCCTTCAGCACTTGATTTCCACACACAACTCACAATAACGAGGCAACCAAGGCTAGACACGTTCATATTGTTTCAGTTTGCTCCAGTTCACAATCTGGCTTAAAGAACAAGGGAAATGTTTTTCAGTCTTGGTCGCTTGTCGTTTTACGCTACAGGCCAGGAGTGAAGTGCTGTTTTTAACTTGAGACAAGATATCATGCTGGCATACAAAGCAACATCGGTAAAAAGACAATTGCAACGTCACTTAAATATTAATAAAATTCATGAGTTTTATTACTGTCTATTGCCTAAACAAATAGGGTTAAAATTCCTTTTGAGTTCATCAAAACAAAATTTCAAAATCAACGAAATGTTTCGATGCTGAATTTTGTTTACTGCCTTTTTCTGGTATATTCAAAATTGAAGCTTATGAACTGTAAATTGCAAAAACTCGTTATAATTTCATCATTATATTTTCTTAAATTTAGAAACCAACAGGACATGAGTTCATGAAAACATGATTAAAAATTGATTGGGAAAGTATTTGTTTTGCTAGGAAGCCTCAAGTTACTGTTATGGAAATAGTAATTCAGGTCATCATCCTAGTGAATCGTTTTCCTGTTAAATTTATCGAAAGAAAAAAATTTCAAGTTCATCGTTTGCTCGGGTAATGAAGTCCGAGATTACCCAACACGACTAAGGACCTTTTCACATATAAGGAGCAATCACGGGAGGATTAAATAACCTGTTTTTGTTAGTATCCCTTTTTCCTTCAAAATATTTGATCATATTCCAAAACCCCCTAAGAGGTCCTCAGATAAGTATGCAAATGACAGAGCTCATGACACCTGCTTTTTGATCTTTAATTTCCCGCGTTAATAACAAGGTCGACGGGGGCGCGCAAGACAGTAAACAATGAATTTGGATTTCACCTTTGAATCTCGTAGTGAGTCAGTTGGATCTGTTCAGTACATCAGCCATCGGTATAAAATTTCAGTCAAGCGTAATATATAGATTTAGCCGAACCTAAAAGCGGAGCTCCTGTGCGGGGTTGTTCAAAGCTCGATTAAGGTGGCTCCCTATAGTTTTACGATCGCACGCGCGTTTAGGATGAAAGCTCAAGAAATCTGCGCGTGCTCAAAGGAAAACGACAGTGTTTTTGGATGTTACATGACGTCAACATGAGTACAAAAAAGGAAACTGGCAGTAAAACTTCTCGCGTTTCCTTCGGTGAAATTCCGTAAAATTTGGCAGACGGGTAATAAATACTTTGCATTAGTTGGAACTCGTTTTTCAGGGAAATTTTTCTGCAGTGCTAAAAGACATAAATTTGCAAAATTCTAAAAAAAAACTGCTTTTACAAACCCTACTTTTTCGTGTTTAAATTTCGTATCCCGTCAGGTTTATTGTACTGTAAAAAAATTTGGAAGATTTCACCGAAGGAAATTCAAAATTCACAAATAAAGTCACGAAAACGGTAAAAGAAGCATTTGCTTGGACGTTCAAGATTAAAAGCCAAGCTATTAACACATGTGATAGTAAATCAATATATCATCATTGCTTATTACATTGAATAAGTTTGAGAGGACTGGGTATTTTAAGTTGGCCAGCAAAAGCTCTACTGGTCGATTGGTACTGTCACGTTTTCACTTGTAAGCCTTCAGTCTAACGAGGTGCTACCCTCTAAGCATTCAACTTCTAGCTTACCTCATTATATTCTTTGACGTGCCAAATAAGATATCTTGTCATTTCATGAACTTATTTTTAAATTAGTTAATAAGAGGGTTTATGCACATTCACCTCCGAGGCCATTTGGCACAAGAGGGCGTTGTACGGTCACATTCAGTTCCGAGGCCATTTAGCGCATGTGCTGAAATCTAAGGCAGTGAGACTGTGGTTGACAGACGAGTATGCCGTCAACTCAAACGCTCCTTCTTCCTGAACGAAAGAGTTCAAAGTCTGTCTGTTTCTTAATGGTTCTGCATTTTCAAATCGCCCTTCTAGTCCAATGCAGCCCGGCCTTGACTCAGGTACGAGAAGTCTTGAGCATGAACAAGCAAATTTTAGACTATGGCGAAAGCTTTCGACAAATATACAATACAAACACGGATTACATGCACTACTGTTCAATATCAGCCAGAAAGACATGGCAAACTCAATGGGGTAGTGCAAGATGGATGAAATGTCACTGGATCTCACATGAATCAAGTCTGAGAGCATGATANGTCGAAAGATGTCGCCTATGCACGTAACACTGAAAGCGGGTGTAAATGGCTGAAATCCAAACGCAGTCACCAACAGATACAATGTCACGAAGATCGTGTTCAAAGCCTGGGTAGCATGTGTTAGCAAAGTACGGCTGAAAATTATGACGTTGTAATTTCATAGCCAAAACCTTGTTCTGACCCGTTCTGCGCGAGCTTACGAGTCACGAAAGGTTTCCTAGTGCTTCCGAGCGTCTAATTACTGGTTCCCTTAGTCACGTTAAAACCTTACACACAGTAGCTGATGAAAATAAACTAGACGCTCCAAGAGCGTTTACTCGAGCTTCTTACCGTAATATCAAATCGTACTTTACAAGTGAGTTTATTGAACACAATAAGAACAAATAAAAGAATCAGGATATTTTAACACAAGTGTTGCGCTTAGATATTTACTATTCAAGTTGCTTCGTTGAGTATCCTCTTTGTCCAATTGCGTGTTGTTTGCCTCATCTTCGAAGTTCTGCTTACGACAATTCTTGATTTATTCAACATCTAAGGTGTTCGTCTCAGCATCATAGTTTGTTTTCTGCTTAGTAGTCATAGCTTTTTGTCAGTGTTTTCGTAGCCCGAACTCGTATATGACCCAATTGTTATCTCGTGAGAACGAACACGAACTTTGCTTATTTGGCAGGCTTTCAAGCAAGATAATTCGTGGACCGTCCCGTTCCGATTCGTATGTGAGGTGAATGTATAAGGATTGTTTCTTTCCAATATTTTCTTCACAAAACACTGCATTCTATGTATTAATTACGTTGTTCACGAAGTGCGAGCACACGATAAAGCAAGCTGTCGCATTCTCGTTCCCAGTTTCCACTCACTACGCATGGAACGCCTGGGTCCATGACCCCCTTTTGGCGACCAAAAAACTTGAATTTTATGACTCGGGCTTTCCTACGAGTAATTCAGTATCCATCGGAGTGGGTGATGTCTGACAACGATTAACCAATCAGGCGTCCTTCTTTATGACATGTGTGTATATACAGATTTCAAAACGTTATCGTTGGGAAGGGCTTTGTTAAATTTTCCATTCTTGTCCCCCTCTTTTTTTCGCTCGTCCCCAACTACCGAGAGCCTGGAACAGGCTATGTCAGACTTACGCAAGTAATCGAACTCTTTTGCTTTTAAGACTATGCCTTGCTCCAGGCCTCCCTCTTGTTTTGTTTTTGTTTTGTTTTTTTTTTCCTGCAACATGAGATCGCAGGCATGAAGGGAAGAATTCGATGTCTTCATTCAACTTCCAGCCCACCTCATTATATTTCTTGCCGTGCAAAATAGGAAATCCTGTCATTTCATAAAAACTCGTTCATATTCACATTCACCTTCGAGGCCATTTGCCCCTTGAGACGGTTAAGGCGGCGAGGTTGTGGTTAAAAGACGAGTATGCCCTCAACTCAACAGCTCCTTCTTCCTGAACGAAGGAGTTCAAATTATGTCTGTTCCTCATTAGTTCTGCATTTTCAAATCGCCTTTGTAGTCCAATACAGCACAGCCTTGATTCAGGTCCGAGAAGTCTTAAGCATGAACAAGCAGATTTCAGACTGTGGCGAAAGCTTTCGATAAATATAAAATACAAACACGGATTACATGCACTACTGTTCAATATCAACCAGGAAGACATGAAAAACACTATGGGGTGGTGCATGATGGATGAAATGTCACTGGATCTTACAAGAATCAAGTCTGAGAGCATGAAAGCAAAACTAGGCGCCCATGAAACAACAAACACGATTACAACTGATATCATTAAAACAGTGACCTTTCGTGCTGTACGAATAGCAAGCGCTTGCTGATTGTTAGAAACTTCGCCAGGAATGTTTCTTCTCCAAAGACGATAACAAATGATAGAATAAAGCACAATTAGAACGATAAACGAGACAACTAAACAACTCAACGACGAGTACACTTCTTGAGCGCTCCTCTCAGATCCACATTTAGGCCTTTTTTCGTCCCCATCGTATGCCGCTTTAAAAGACAACAAAGCTGAAATAAGCCACATAGCTGGAATTCCTACTTTTACCACCCATTTTGATGACAATTTATACTTTAATGGTCGAGCGACGGCAAGATATCGATCAAGAGCAATAACTACCAAGTTAAAAATAGAGCAGAAAAGCAAGAGAGAACCTACAAAAGATAATATTTTACAAGTGACGTTTCCCAGGGTGCCTCCAAACCACGTGTATCCGATGTACAGCTGCGTAATAAATAAAGGGGCCAGGAGCACAGTGATCAAAAGATCGCAAATTGCTAAGTTCATGATGAGACAATTCGTTGATGTTCTCATGGAACGATGTTTGGTTATGACGTAGATGACAAGAGAGTTGCCAATCACAGACACCAGGAATGTGAACAGCATGGCGCTGGTGAAAATCACTTTTGTTGGGTAGGTGTGGTTGAGGTCAGCAGTGTACTTTGAATCTGTCGCGGAGGGATAGTTAATGTTAGATTATTTTGTGCAAACCAGAAGTACATCAACTACTTCTAATCGTTTAATAAACATTAGAGATACAAGGTTGAAATAGGGTCAAGCGAAATAACCATGTGACCTACTTGGAACTTGTCTCCATTTAATTTTACGGATCAAAGGGTCTTGATGATAGCAGCAAGTCAAAAATTTAAAGAAAACGACGCAACTTTTAAGTTTCAAAGACATGTTTCGACAAAAACTACTGTCATCTTCTATCCTTATAATTCTCTGGCACACTTTCACGCTTTGCTTTATTTTGTTGTCACAATTAGCATTTTGCTACTTATTATAAATTCGACTTCCGACGCTTTGTACATCAATCAACTGAAGATGACAGTACGTAGGTTCTATCGAAGCATGTCTTTCAAACTTTTAAGTTTCGTCGTTTTCTTTAAAATTTAGATCAGTAATTTTTCACTGCATGTACATGTTGAGGAGTAATTTGTGTTTTGGCTAGAGTCCTGACTGATACGCGGACCTGAATGTTAAATTGATAAAGTGCTTATAATCCCTCTCATTATGGCGGGTTAATATAACATGCGAAAACGTTTGTTTCTATTAACTGCGAATTTTCCATGAGCATCAGCATGTTATTTTCCTTTAAAAATGTTAAAAGAAGGAGAAAGACTGAAAAATTAAATTCATTATTTTGCTGTGGCTGAACTATCCAAATCAGATGAAAGTAAATAAAAGCTCCAATGATTTATGTCTTTCGGCTGCAGCAATTTTTTTATTTTGTTTGTTTTCACGAGGCTGTTGATTGACTGATATGTAAATTTTCAAGTACTGGAGGAACAATCTATTGCTGATAGCTTGCGCCTTGTGAATTTTAAGACATCCTTAATTAAGTTTGCTTTAAACAAAGATTTTAATTTTAAGTTATGCGATCATGATAATCGTTTTTCAGGGAGTTCAGTTTCCCGGTTTGTTCGAGTGACTTTAGCGTAAATATCGAAAACTAATCGAGAAAATTAATGAAGGGCAACAATTATTTATTACGGACATTATATCTTTCAACCATTTTTACAAGGGTGGAGCATGGCGTAGAATTTAATAGTGTAAAACTGCCGGGCTGAAAAACCACGCCTCTGGTGTATTATGCCGCTTACCTTTCTCGTCTGTTTCATTGTAGTTTGAAGTAATTCCTTCAGCACTTGATTTCCACACACAACTCACAATAACGAGGCAACCAAGGCTAGACACGTTCATATTGTTTCAGTTTGCTCCAGTTCACAATCTGGCTTAAAGAACAAGGGAAATGTTTTTCAGTCTTGGTCGCTTGTCGTTTTACGCTACAGGCCAGGAGTGAAGTGCTGTTTTTAACTTGAGACAAGATATCATGCTGGCATACAAAGCAACATCGGTAAAAAGACAATTGCAACGTCACTTAAATATTAATAAAATTCATGAGTTTTATTACTGTCTATTGCCTAAACAAATAGGGTTAAAATTCCTTTTGAGTTCATCAAAACAAAATTTCAAAATCAACGAAATGTTTCGATGCTGAATTTTGTTTACTGCCTTTTTCTGGTATATTCAAAATTGAAGCTTATGAACTGTAAATTGCAAAAACTCGTTATAATTTCATCATTATATTTTCTTAAATTTAGAAACCAACAGGACATGAGTTCATGAAAACATGATTAAAAATTGATTGGGAAAGTATTTGTTTTGCTAGGAAGCCTCAAGTTACTGTTATGGAAATAGTAATTCAGGTCATCATCCTAGTGAATCGTTTTCCTGTTAAATTTATCGAAAGAAAAAAATTTCAAGTTCATCGTTTGCTCGGGTAATGAAGTCCGAGATTACCCAACACGACTAAGGACCTTTTCACATATAAGGAGCAATCACGGGAGGATTAAATAACCTGTTTTTGTTAGTATCCCTTTTTCCTTCAAAATATTTGATCATATTCCAAAACCCCCTAAGAGGTCCTCAGATAAGTATGCAAATGACAGAGCTCATGACACCTGCTTTTTGATCTTTAATTTCCCGCGTTAATAACAAGGTCGACGGGGGCGCGCAAGACAGTAAACAATGAATTTGGATTTCACCTTTGAATCTCGTAGTGAGTCAGTTGGATCTGTTCAGTACATCAGCCATCGGTATAAAATTTCAGTCAAGCGTAATATATAGATTTAGCCGAACCTAAAAGCGGAGCTCCTGTGCGGGGTTGTTCAAAGCTCGATTAAGGTGGCTCCCTATAGTTTTACGATCGCACGCGCGTTTAGGATGAAAGCTCAAGAAATCTGCGCGTGCTCAAAGGAAAACGACAGTGTTTTTGGATGTTACATGACGTCAACATGAGTACAAAAAAGGAAACTGGCAGTAAAACTTCTCGCGTTTCCTTCGGTGAAATTCCGTAAAATTTGGCAGACGGGTAATAAATACTTTGCATTAGTTGGAACTCGTTTTTCAGGGAAATTTTTCTGCAGTGCTAAAAGACATAAATTTGCAAAATTCTAAAAAAAAACTGCTTTTACAAACCCTACTTTTTCGTGTTTAAATTTCGTATCCCGTCAGGTTTATTGTACTGTAAAAAAATTTGGAAGATTTCACCGAAGGAAATTCAAAATTCACAAATAAAGTCACGAAAACGGTAAAAGAAGCATTTGCTTGGACGTTCAAGATTAAAAGCCAAGCTATTAACACATGTGATAGTAAATCAATATATCATCATTGCTTATTACATTGAATAAGTTTGAGAGGACTGGGTATTTTAAGTTGGCCAGCAAAAGCTCTACTGGTCGATTGGTACTGTCACGTTTTCACTTGTAAGCCTTCAGTCTAACGAGGTGCTACCCTCTAAGCATTCAACTTCTAGCTTACCTCATTATATTCTTTGACGTGCCAAATAAGATATCTTGTCATTTCATGAACTTATTTTTAAATTAGTTAATAAGAGGGTTTATGCACATTCACCTCCGAGGCCATTTGGCACAAGAGGGCGTTGTACGGTCACATTCAGTTCCGAGGCCATTTAGCGCATGTGCTGAAATCTAAGGCAGTGAGACTGTGGTTGACAGACGAGTATGCCGTCAACTCAAACGCTCCTTCTTCCTGAACGAAAGAGTTCAAAGTCTGTCTGTTTCTTAATGGTTCTGCATTTTCAAATCGCCCTTCTAGTCCAATGCAGCCCGGCCTTGACTCAGGTACGAGAAGTCTTGAGCATGAACAAGCAAATTTTAGACTATGGCGAAAGCTTTCGACAAATATACAATACAAACACGGATTACATGCACTACTGTTCAATATCAGCCAGAAAGACATGGCAAACTCAATGGGGTAGTGCAAGATGGATGAAATGTCACTGGATCTCACATGAATCAAGTCTGAGAGCATGATAGAAAAAACTGGCGCCCATGAAACGATAAACACGATTACAACTGATATCATTAAAACAGTGACCTTTCGTGCTGTACGAATAGCAAGCGCTTGCTGATTGTTAGAAACTTCGCCAGGAATGTTTCTTCTCCAAAGACGATAACAAATGATAGAATAAAGCACAATTAGAACGATAAACGAGACAACTAAACAACTCAACGACGAGTACACTTCTTGAGCGCTCCTCTCAGATCCACATTTAGGCCTTTTTTCGTCCCCATCGTATGCCGCTTTAAAAGACAACAAAGCTGAAATAAGCCACATAGCTGGAATTCCTACTTTTACCACCCATTTTGATGACAATTTATACTTTAATGGTCGAGCGACGGCAAGATATCGATCAAGAGCAATAACTACCAAGTTAAAAATAGAGCAGAAAAGCAAGAGAGAACCTACAAAAGATAATATTTTACAAGTGACGTTTCCCAGGGTGCCTCCAAACCACGTGTATCCGATGTACAGCTGCGTAATAAATAAAGGGGCCAGGAGCACAGTGATCAAAAGATCGCAAATTGCTAAGTTCATGATGAGACAATTCGTTGATGTTCTCATGGAACGATGTTTGGTTATGACGTAGATGACAAGAGAGTTGCCAATCACAGACACCAGGAATGTGAACAGCATGGCGCTGGTGAAAATCACTTTTGTTGGGTAGGTGTGGTTGAGGTCAGCAGTGTACTTTGAATCTGTCGCGGAGGGATAGTTAATGTTAGATTATTTTGTGCAAACCAGAAGTACATCAACTACTTCTAATCGTTTAATAAACATTAGAGATACAAGGTTGAAATAGGGTCAAGCGAAATAACCATGTGACCTACTTGGAACTTGTCTCCATTTAATTTTACGGATCAAAGGGTCTTGATGATAGCAGCAAGTCAAAAATTTAAAGAAAACGACGCAACTTTTAAGTTTCAAAGACATGTTTCGACAAAAACTACTGTCATCTTCTATCCTTATAATTCTCTGGCACACTTTCACGCTTTGCTTTATTTTGTTGTCACAATTAGCATTTTGCTACTTATTATAAATTCGACTTCCGACGCTTTGTACATCAATCAACTGAAGATGACAGTACGTAGGTTCTATCGAAGCATGTCTTTCAAACTTTTAAGTTTCGTCGTTTTCTTTAAAATTTAGATCAGTAATTTTTCACTGCATGTACATGTTGAGGAGTAATTTGTGTTTTGGCTAGAGTCCTGACTGATACGCGGACCTGAATGTTAAATTGATAAAGTGCTTATAATCCCTCTCATTATGGCGGGTTAATATAACATGCGAAAACGTTTGTTTCTATTAACTGCGAATTTTCCATGAGCATCAGCATGTTATTTTCCTTTAAAAATGTTAAAAGAAGGAGAAAGACTGAAAAATTAAATTCATTATTTTGCTGTGGCTGAACTATCCAAATCAGATGAAAGTAAATAAAAGCTCCAATGATTTATGTCTTTCGGCTGCAGCAATTTTTTTATTTTGTTTGTTTTCACGAGGCTGTTGATTGACTGATATGTAAATTTTCAAGTACTGGAGGAACAATCTATTGCTGATAGCTTGCGCCTTGTGAATTTTAAGACATCCTTAATTAAGTTTGCTTTAAACAAAGATTTTAATTTTAAGTTATGCGATCATGATAATCGTTTTTCAGGGAGTTCAGTTTCCCGGTTTGTTCGAGTGACTTTAGCGTAAATATCGAAAACTAATCGAGAAAATTAATGAAGGGCAACAATTATTTATTACGGACATTATATCTTTCAACCATTTTTACAAGGGTGGAGCATGGCGTAGAATTTAATAGTGTAAAACTGCCGGGCTGAAAAACCACGCCTCTGGTGTATTATGCCGCTTACCTTTCTCGTCTGTTTCATTGTAGTTTGAAGTAATTCCTTCAGCACTTGATTTCCACACACAACTCACAATAACGAGGCAACCAAGGCTAGACACGTTCATATTGTTTCAGTTTGCTCCAGTTCACAATCTGGCTTAAAGAACAAGGGAAATGTTTTTCAGTCTTGGTCGCTTGTCGTTTTACGCTACAGGCCAGGAGTGAAGTGCTGTTTTTAACTTGAGACAAGATATCATGCTGGCATACAAAGCAACATCGGTAAAAAGACAATTGCAACGTCACTTAAATATTAATAAAATTCATGAGTTTTATTACTGTCTATTGCCTAAACAAATAGGGTTAAAATTCCTTTTGAGTTCATCAAAACAAAATTTCAAAATCAACGAAATGTTTCGATGCTGAATTTTGTTTACTGCCTTTTTCTGGTATATTCAAAATTGAAGCTTATGAACTGTAAATTGCAAAAACTCGTTATAATTTCATCATTATATTTTCTTAAATTTAGAAACCAACAGGACATGAGTTCATGAAAACATGATTAAAAATTGATTGGGAAAGTATTTGTTTTGCTAGGAAGCCTCAAGTTACTGTTATGGAAATAGTAATTCAGGTCATCATCCTAGTGAATCGTTTTCCTGTTAAATTTATCGAAAGAAAAAAATTTCAAGTTCATCGTTTGCTCGGGTAATGAAGTCCGAGATTACCCAACACGACTAAGGACCTTTTCACATATAAGGAGCAATCACGGGAGGATTAAATAACCTGTTTTTGTTAGTATCCCTTTTTCCTTCAAAATATTTGATCATATTCCAAAACCCCCTAAGAGGTCCTCAGATAAGTATGCAAATGACAGAGCTCATGACACCTGCTTTTTGATCTTTAATTTCCCGCGTTAATAACAAGGTCGACGGGGGCGCGCAAGACAGTAAACAATGAATTTGGATTTCACCTTTGAATCTCGTAGTGAGTCAGTTGGATCTGTTCAGTACATCAGCCATCGGTATAAAATTTCAGTCAAGCGTAATATATAGATTTAGCCGAACCTAAAAGCGGAGCTCCTGTGCGGGGTTGTTCAAAGCTCGATTAAGGTGGCTCCCTATAGTTTTACGATCGCACGCGCGTTTAGGATGAAAGCTCAAGAAATCTGCGCGTGCTCAAAGGAAAACGACAGTGTTTTTGGATGTTACATGACGTCAACATGAGTACAAAAAAGGAAACTGGCAGTAAAACTTCTCGCGTTTCCTTCGGTGAAATTCCGTAAAATTTGGCAGACGGGTAATAAATACTTTGCATTAGTTGGAACTCGTTTTTCAGGGAAATTTTTCTGCAGTGCTAAAAGACATAAATTTGCAAAATTCTAAAAAAAAACTGCTTTTACAAACCCTACTTTTTCGTGTTTAAATTTCGTATCCCGTCAGGTTTATTGTACTGTAAAAAAATTTGGAAGATTTCACCGAAGGAAATTCAAAATTCACAAATAAAGTCACGAAAACGGTAAAAGAAGCATTTGCTTGGACGTTCAAGATTAAAAGCCAAGCTATTAACACATGTGATAGTAAATCAATATATCATCATTGCTTATTACATTGAATAAGTTTGAGAGGACTGGGTATTTTAAGTTGGCCAGCAAAAGCTCTACTGGTCGATTGGTACTGTCACGTTTTCACTTGTAAGCCTTCAGTCTAACGAGGTGCTACCCTCTAAGCATTCAACTTCTAGCTTACCTCATTATATTCTTTGACGTGCCAAATAAGATATCTTGTCATTTCATGAACTTATTTTTAAATTAGTTAATAAGAGGGTTTATGCACATTCACCTCCGAGGCCATTTGGCACAAGAGGGCGTTGTACGGTCACATTCAGTTCCGAGGCCATTTAGCGCATGTGCTGAAATCTAAGGCAGTGAGACTGTGGTTGACAGACGAGTATGCCGTCAACTCAAACGCTCCTTCTTCCTGAACGAAAGAGTTCAAAGTCTGTCTGTTTCTTAATGGTTCTGCATTTTCAAATCGCCCTTCTAGTCCAATGCAGCCCGGCCTTGACTCAGGTACGAGAAGTCTTGAGCATGAACAAGCAAATTTTAGACTATGGCGAAAGCTTTCGACAAATATACAATACAAACACGGATTACATGCACTACTGTTCAATATCAGCCAGAAAGACATGGCAAACTCAATGGGGTAGTGCAAGATGGATGAAATGTCACTGGATCTCACATGAATCAAGTCTGAGAGCATGATAGAAAAAACTGGCGCCCATGAAACGATAAACACGATTACAACTGATATCATTAAAACAGTGACCTTTCGTGCTGTACGAATAGCAAGCGCTTGCTGATTGTTGGAAACTTCGCCAGGAATGTTTCTTCTCCAAAGACGATAAAAATGATAGAATAAACTCAATGAAAACGATAAACGAGACAACCAGACAGCACAACAATGAGTACATTTCTAGGGAGCTTCTATCAAATACACACAGCGGCCTTTTCTCATCCCCAAAGCAGTGAAGTTTCGGTGTCAATGCCGCTTAAACAAACAACAAAACTGAAATCAGCCGCACAGCTGGAATTCCTACTTTTACCACCCATTTTGATGACAATTTATACTTTAATGGTCGAGCGACGGCAAGATATCGATCAATAGCGATAGCCACCAAGTTAAGAATAGCGCAGAAAAGCAAGAGAGAACCTACAAATAGTAATATTCTACAAGTGACGTTTCCCAGGGTGCCTTCAAACCACGTGTCTCCAATGTGCTGATTTTTAATAAATGAAGGGGTCTGGAACACAGTGATCAAAAGATCACAAATTGCCGAGTTCATCATAAGAAAAAAAAAAAAAAAATTAAAAACTGATCATTGGATAATGCAGTTTAAATGTTTTCATTGGTTTAGCCGTCATGGTATATGAATAATCATTAAAAACTGGATCATTGGATAATGCAATTCGAGAATTTTATTTGACTTAGCCATCGTGGTTTATGAGCCATTATACCATGGAAGGCGCGGAGGCCTCATGGTTAGTGCGCTCGACTCCGGAGGGAGGGGTCCGGATTCGAGCCCTGGCCGGGGACATTGTGTTGTGTTCTTAGGTAAGCCACTTTACTCTCACAGTGCCTCTCTCCACCCAGGTGTATATATGGGTACCGCCTAATTTATTTCTGGGGGTAACTCTGCGATGGACTAGCATCCCATGCAGTGGGGAGTGGAAATACTCCTAGTCGCTTCATGCTACTGAAACCGGGATAAGCTCGGGTCTGATGGGCCACTTGGCTCGTATGCAGACTTAAATATATTGTACCATGCTTTACAAATAAGGTAAACGTACACGTATTTTTTGGAGTCCTTTTTAGTTTTATTTTGTTTTAGTTTTCTATATTTTGGGGCCGTTTTTAATAAAACAGCTATTCTACTCGCACCTCGTTGGTCTCCTGATATGAGATATTATTATATAGATAGGACCCTGCGCGCGCTCTGATTGGTCAAAAAGCCCATGTTTCATCAGAGTAGAAAACATAGAAAAAGCGTCTTTTATTGTTTTTCGCCGCATTACCTCTATATCATAAAGCAAACGAAGGAGCCTAAGCCGTGTATTACATTGTGATAAAACACTCCGGACATTTGAGAACACTCGAGAAATGTAGAAAACACTCGCCGCGGTTCGTGTTTTCTACATTTCCCTCGTGATCTCAACTTCCCGTCGGGTTTTATCACAGTGTAATACACGGCTTAGGCTTCCAAGAGACTGTGGCTTAAGCATCCAAGAGACTGTGTAGATCTACTTTTTGCGAGAGAGATTTACTGTCCAATCATGTCAAACACAACGAAGCCATATCAAACAGGCATGGTGGCTGGTGATGTATGTATAGTCCTATTTTTGTACTAGAGACGACTGAGATATGTAAACAACTGGAATAAAAACTTGAAATATTTATTAATTGTATCTGTCAACAATCGTTTTAAATATTTCTGCATTGCTTTGCTGAACACAAACAATTGCTAAGATAGAAATAAAGTAATGTGAGTTCCGTTTCCAAGAAAGAAAACTATTGTTATTTTTATTGTGTACATTACAATCCGCAATACCCCTTTTAATTTGTATTGCATCCAGCTGAGGGGACTCCAATAGTTGACTTAAGGTGCGCTTTTTATCAGGCGGGACTTATGGCAAAAGAGTCACAAAAAGGCAGGGATTTTAAACACTCATTGCTAATTTATCCAGGAAAAGAGAAGTAATGGGTCTACTGTAGATATGTGAAAGGGGTTTCAAGCTTGAAGCTGCATGTACATGTATATGAAAAAAAAAAAAACACTACAAAAGGGAAAGTATATTGACCTTGGGGAAGAGCCTCCTTGTGGATAACTTGTTTAGGTCCCTTCTCCCTTCTCCTGGGCAGAGTTACATGGAGAAGACTTATATAACTGTAAATAAAAACATCCCTTTCACTTTAGGTTCAAATTCAAAAACAAAATTGAACTTTTTTGGTAAGATGTAGCAGGGATTTTCTGGCGGAATATCATTTTCAGCCAAACTTTCTCAAGTAGCCCTTTCTGGGAGGGATGCTGAAAACGATTTGAAATGATTCTTATAATATTTGCAGAAATACTTTTCTCTCTATTCCCATTTACCAGCTAGTTTAAATCATATTGTTCATGTTTGCAATATCTTTTAATTATTTATTCAACTTTGCCTAACTGATTAAAATACTTATATACATAAATTAAAAATGTTTATTATTAGGCAGGAAGACCACTACAACCTAGCCAATTACAGTGGATCCCTCGTAATATCCGTGTCGCACTGAAGTAAAATTGTGCAAAATATTCTTGGCACATTTCTCAAGCTGATTGTCTTAAAATTATGAATGTCAAAACCATGTGACATACTTTCTGCATAATTGCAATACAGCCTTTTCATAATGCAACACTCGAATGTTAACTGAAGAAGCACCACAACCAAATTACCTTGACCCAAAATGTACCGCTGACTCACTAATATTGTACATATTATGACCAACAACTCTGACTGGGTGTCAATTTAGGACTGGTGATTACAGGAAACTCTCATTTAATGGCTTCCTAGTGCAACAGACTGTAGAAATCAATTGACACTACATGTACAAGTTAATATAATAACAATTATTTTCCAATGTCAGTCAAAATTAATTAACATATTCAGTTTTAAAATTTATAAGCAGTCTAAATAAACAGCCTGTAATTTGATTTTTATTTACTTGCCTAGTTACACTGCACATGTACTACTTGAGCTTTCAAAAAGTCATTTCAAAAATTATCAACAACAAACTAATTATAGGTGAAGTAAATGTATGTAGGTAATGTATCCACGACTTCTTGATTGTTTCCTTTGATATACCTATATACCTATACCAGTCAAGCAACATATGCAATGAACGAAAATGGCCTTTATTTCGACAGATTCACTTTCTTTATTTTTTAGGGAATTGTTTTGTAGGTACCTCGAGAACCACACAAAACCATAAATGTAAACTCCAAAATTTGGGGGTTACGCTGTCCTCGCTTAAAATTCGCACATTTAATGAAACATCCCACCCTGCAAGTAGAGCCTTTTGTTACGGTACATATGCTTTTTACCGAGAATAGACTCTACACGAATC